GCTCAACAACACCCCCCCCCCCCCAAACACAAACTCACTCGGGCTGCGTCCCCCTTTTCCACCCTCATACACACCCACACCCACAATATACTCATCAACGCACACACATGTACACACACACACACAAACACCCTCACTTGGGCGCCTTTGACTCTGGGCTGTAGTAGTAGTCCCGCCCGTCAGCAAACAGCTGCGCCTCACGCAGCCGGTGCCTCTTCGCCGGCAGCCCCCCAAACACGTGCGTCGTGCGCACCACCAGCGGCCGCGGCGCCCCCGGCAGCTCGTGCAGCCGCTGCACCCAGTGCACGTGGCCGTTGGGGAACAGCCACAGCGGCAGCACGCCGACCAGCAGCCGCCCCTGGAAGCCCGCCATCAGCCGCGTGCCGTTGGGCGGCGTGACTTGGGGCAGCCCGGAAGCTTCCGCCAGCGCCGTTGCGTTGAAGCGCTGGGGCTCAGGGGCCGTGGGGCCGCCACCGCCGTCGGGGGTGCGTCCTGCTGGCAGGGGCAAAGGGCCGCCTTTGGAGCCTTTTGAGGGCTGAGGCGGCTGCTGCGGCTCTTCGCTCACCATTGGGTTTGCCATCCTGCCCGATCCGGGCTTGGGCTGCCCCGCCGCCATCGCCGCCGCCGCCCCTGGAGGCGCCGTTGCTGCCGCCGCAGGCCCCGCTGCGCTGAGCCGCCGTTGCTGCCGGCCGCCGCCGCCGTTGATGGCCGCTGCCGTCAAGGGCGCCACAGCCAGGGTGCCGCGAGGGCCTGCCAGCCCCAAGGGTGCCTCCCACTGCGGCAGCTGCTCCCCAGGTGCTGGGGCCGCCGCTGTGTGCGGCTGTCCTGTCAGCCGCTGTGCAGGCTGAATGGTCGCCGCAGCAGCAGCCACAGGCGCCGCCCCTGCCAGCTGCGTCGCAGCCGCCTCCGCCGCCGCCCCAGCGAACACACCCGCGGGCTTTGCCGCCGGCGCGCGTGCGCCGGCGGCTGCCGCCGCCGCCGCCGCCCCTCCCTGCACGCCCGCGGACGGCACGGCCGCCGCAGGCGCAGCGGCGGCCGCTGAAGCCGGAGCCGCCCGCGGCCGCGTGTGCTGCGCGAGTGCAGCCAGATCCATTTCAAGGTCCTCCGCGTCCTCCTCCCCGCCCGCCTGCGCCTCTGTGCCCGAGCCGCCTGGGTGCCGCGGCACGCGGGGCCGCGGGGGCGGGGGCGGCGTGGGGGGCGTCCAGCCTGACAGCGCCAGCTCCTGGAACGCGTGCGCGTCCGGCTCGCCGGCGCCGGCCTCGGCGGCGGAGCCCCACGCGTCGACGAAGGCGTGGGTGCGGGGGTTGTTGCGGAGGATCAGGAGGCCTTTGGAGGGGG